TTTGGCTGCACTTCTGAAAGGAGTACTTAGTTTCTGATGATGATCCAGTTTATCTTCCAATTGACCCCCTTCTCCCTTCAGTAAAATACTGCTTAAACCATTTGATTCACTGCTGACAAATGAGGCAAAAGCCGGTTTTATTTTTCCAAATTTCTGGGTGGGAGACCAAGCAGGAGTGATTAAGAGATGTATAAAACCGTAATTCAACCTTGCTGCTAATCAAAGCCTGGCAAAAAGTTTGCAGTCTTCTCTGCTCTGCCATGAGGGCAGCTTTCTGGAGGGGACAGTTTCTGAGGGAATTAGGAATTGACTTGGGCTCTCAGCTCTTCCTGAATGTGGCAGATTCCTGTCTGCACTTGCTAACAAGTATGGATTTCAGCTGTTGTAAATCCTACATGAAAGCTATTGAGCACAAAATACATTGTAGACAGCAATCATCAGTGAGAGCAGTGAGATGCTATAGCAACTTCATAATGACAAAGTTTGTTTATTTTTAACATGTATCCTCGGTAAAGCTCTCTCACTCCAGAATGTTTCAAAATACTAAGTGGTTTATGTGTTTACTTCTGGCTCCTGGTTGCATTTGCTTGTTCAACAGTGAATATCAGAGTCACAGCTTCTTCCCACCTGAGAATATTGAATCTTTGTTTTCCTCTCACTTCTCTCCCGCTCTGTCATGTCATGTGCCCTGACACTCCTCATGTTACTGAGCTCTCTTCTGAAGATTTTTGACAACTAGCTGTTTGCTCTCCTATCTTTGACCTGACTGGTTCTCTTCCTGGTGCACCTTTGCTGGTGTTAGTGGATAATTGCATTCTTTAGCCTTTGAGATCTAAATAAACAACCTCTGATAGTTCTTCACAGCCATACCTGATGACAGGTCTCCTATCTCCCAGTACAACCACCTTGCCTGGAGTGCTTGTCGTGCTCCTCCTTCACTGCTTGTACTGCTCATGGGAGACACTATTCTCATGCTGTGCTCTAAGGTGTTTCCCTGTTACTCAATTTCATTCATGCAAAGTTAGCTTCCATATGCTCCCTTCTGCTGAGCCAACCCTTCTAATGATTTTTGATCTACATTAGGTTGTAGAATTCTTCAAGATTACATCATCTTTTAATCTCATAGCATTCTCTTATCATGATACTTCTAAAAGAGTTCTGGTTTTGACTGCTCGTGATGTCCCTTAACTCTTATGTTAATTCTTAACAGAGAACTATAGGATTTTTGAGGGTGTAGGTCTTTGATCTTTGCGTAAGTTTAATTTGTAAATACAAATTTTTAAATAGCAGATTTAGATTTGAACTCCCACATTTATTCATTTCTTCCATCATTTAAAACTGTACCAGGTTTTCAGGAAGAAAGTTCTTTTTGTTTTTGCTCCTGAAGAACTTCCTAAGCACCTGGAGTTTCGGTGTTATGTAATATAATAGGTTTTACCTCAGGTAATTTCATTCTCAGTATTTTATCTTTACATATAAAACATGGTGTCCAGAACACATGGTTAATATTAAAGAGAAGTAAAATTGTAGTGATGTGTGGTATGCGTAATTTATATCACCTGTTCTGTTTATTTCACAGTCTATTTTCTACTACAGTGTTCAGTTTCTCCCTTCAGGCAGAGTGGTAGTACAAATCTAATCTCTGTACTTTCTGCTATGAAAATTAGATATCTTTAAAGGGTCTTAAACATCTTTTAATTGATTATTGTCTTTTTGTGTTTTTATTGTTGCTGAAAGCCAACAAAAGCTTATTCGACATGGTACCTAACTTAGCAAATCTGTAAGAAAAACCTCCATCTGTAATTTCTTAAATGCTTTTGAAAGTAGACAAAGGTACTGTTCAGATTTAACTTAGCAAGTAACCCTTGCTGTCAGAATTATCCATGCCTAATAAGATCTGAACAGAAGGGAACATTCTGTCTCATTCCATTTGTATGTTTAGTTTTGTTTCTTACTGGTATGTCTTCCCATTGCTGGCTCTTCACAAGTTCATAAGAAGGTTCTGTTAAATCAAATTTCGGAACAGGGAAGCCAGGAATGGCATTGTGCAGATGGAACCCGAATGTCACCAGCCAGCTGTTAACATCTGAAAAAGAATTATTAAAAATAAAAGCAGAGAGAAGAATATTAGAACTGTTCTGTATTTTTCAACCACACCATTTTTACATGGAATAGTTTTTGGCATAGTTGATCTCCTTCTGTAACAGGAAAATTATTCAACAGTCTTCGTTTTGATACGTATGGATTTAGATTTGTGCTACAGCTAGAACAGCAAGCCTATACAGAAAACCTGCAGTTCTAAACTTGCAAGAAAATGTTCTATATGAGTTGCACTAGGCTCAGTTGATAAGCATTG